ATTGTGTACTCCTTCGTCTTTAGGATTGGGTCTCTTAGCCACTTCTTATTTGCTTAAACAAGTTTAATGTTGTTGAAATGAATACAATACATGGTCAATTGTGGAGGATTGGATTAGTAACATTTAATTTTATTTTTTCTGGGATTATAAAGCATTAATTTTTCTTTGATGTTGAGCAACTAATAGACATGTTATAAAATATGAAGTAAACAAGAGACATAATATTCTAAGAAAGAAAGAATTTCTCTTCATAATTCAAATTTAATTAGTTGAAAAAGAATGAAGAAACATAACCACAACATACTCGTCGTTTTTTTTTTTTTTTTTTTTTTTTTTATCTTTATGACATGTGTACTTCTTCGTCTAAGCCATTTCTTTTTTTTTTTTTTTTTTTTTATTGGTTAAACTCTCCTGTGGTCACCCCTATTAACAATGGAGAAACCAAACTGAAGACCTCTTGAATAAGACACTCAAAATTCATATCGTCTCACCTGGCCACTCAAAGGTGGTTGTAACCACTTCTTATGGCTCAAACAAGTTTAATTTTGTTGAAATGAATCAATACTTGTCAATTTGAAAGATGGGTCAGTACCATAGTGTGTTGATGGCACCCCATTTTTAGAAATACTGATGGCATGTGGTTGAAGTAGGAGGATTTTGAGCTTTGGACCAGGGATAGTGTTGACAATAATATTTGCTATCTATTCAATTATTCAAAGTTGGTTACACTTCTTTACTAGGAGAAATTACGCATACCTTCTCACTTTTTTTTTTCTCCTCATACCCGAAGGTATGAGACTAATCCCAACCAGGGCTCGGTTAAGTACCCCTAACCACAATGTGCTTTTAGTGTGGTTCAAACCCCTGATATTGCAGGTAAAATTCGTCTCATTTGGAGTCCAGTTATCAACTGGACCAACCTCACAGTTGCATACCTCTTCAGTTTACTAATATGGTGAGACCGTTCAAAAACATAATGGCTTATGTCGTCACTTATTTGTCAAATTCTAATATTTAATCCACCCATTATCATATAATTCATGAATGACCGTTACAGAAGTAGTTTTGAAAATTAACAATACATATTTTGATGTTATTCAACAGTCTCATCATGCTTTTGAATCCACATAAAACATATGGAGATTGTTGATTTACTTACTATATGGAACAATTAAAATGCTTATAAAAAGAGGTAATCGTGTTAATACTACAAAGAAGGGAGTATATGATATAACAAGGTATTAGGTTCTTCATATAACAAGTCAATAAATTTATACTATATAATTATTTTTAAAATTCATTTGTTAAGATAAATGAGAAAAAAAAAAATATTCATATACTATCCATATATTTTATATAAAGTGTTGAGCTTAAGAGAGAAGCTCAATAAGCTCATTTTTGAGCTTATATAAAGTGTTAAAATTTCAAAAATATTCGCTTTATATTTTATAAATTTAACTTAATTTATTCTTGTAGAGTTAAACAATTTTTGGTAAATTAATACTAGAAAATTCTTTCTCATTTTTCTAATTAAACAACTAACAACTTTTTCATAAAATTTATATTTTTATAAACTCTACTCAATAAATTGTACCAAACAAATCTTATGATCGGCAATTGAGCTAAGATGTTGTTATCCATAGGGATGTGAAAAAAACTTGACCCAAGTTTGGTCTGGGCCTAAAATGATTATATAATAATACTAGCCTCACAAACATCTCTTAGTAACCCATGTGGCAGATCGCAATTGGCTTAGTCAAGCAAGACCTATTGTTGGACAGGCAGAACTCATACAAACTGATCAATTAGGAGTTGACACGTCGTGTTTGTGAGAGAAAGTTAATGAGAAATGTTTATCAGTGTAGTATTACTCAATATTATATAGTGTTTTGAAAAATTACATATAACCACTTAAAAATGCACTTAAGTGCTAGACAACTTCAAATCAATAAAGTAAAATTTTAAAAAGCTCTCAAAAACCAAAATCCTACCTGTAACCATCTTTTATCATTTATGTAGCAAAATACTCAATAACCCCTTAAAATTAAACGCAAGAAACTTTTTAAAAAAAACCCTTTATCCCGACCAAACCCGGCCCGGCCCGGCCCAAGTATTAAAAACCCGGGCTTGTAATTTTTCCCGGCCCTAATCGAACAGGCCCTTTTATGTATTGCAAAAGATAAGGTTTTTTTTTCTAAACTCACAAATATTTATTTCTTGGTACACCCTTTTTTACTAAAATGTATAAAATGGAAATTATTTTATCCCTTGCATAATTTATTAGTATCCCACGTTATTTAGTTCATCCTATTTATTATTTAAAACCTCAATTAATACCAAAAATACCTTGAAAGACTAAGAAAATGTTTTTTTTTTTCTTTACACCCTATTCCCATTACTTAAAATGATTTCTTTTTTTCAAGGCTTAATCATTCATGGAGTCAATCTTCCCCTCTGTATAAAATCATTCATGGAGTCAATCTTTCCCTCTGTATAAAATCAGTAAATATTTTTCTTTATCGTCGTTTTTTTTTTTTTTTTTTTTTTTTTTATCTTTATGGACATGTGTACTTCTTCGTCTAAGCCATTTCTTTTTTTTTTTTTTTTATTGGTTAAACTCTCCTGGGTCACCCCTATTAACAATGGAGAAAACCAAACTGAAGACCTCTTGAATAAGACACTCAAGTTAATCGTCACCTGGCCACTCAAAGGGGGTTGTAACCACTTCTTAGCTCAAACAGTTTAATTTTGTTGAATGAATACAATACTGGTCAATTATGAAAGAATGGGTCAGTAACATTTAATTTAATTTTTTCTGGGATATAAGCTTTAATTTTTTTGATGTTGAGCAAATAATAGAAATGTGAACTGCCATCTATATAAAATATGAAGTAAACAAGAGAGATGATATTCTAAGAAAAAGATTTCTCATTATAATTCAATTTTAATTAATTGAAAAAGAAGAGAAGAAAATAACTACAACATAATCTTGTCTCCTCTTCATCATCTCAAAAAAAAATAAAGATGAAAAAATAAAAACTTTATTAATTGATGAGAAGAGTTGCATGGGATCCTATAATTCCTTCATTTGTTCATTCCAATTTGGTCTTCACAGCATCCGCAGCGTTTTGAGCTTTCGCCTGAGCTTGCTGCGCCGCCTGCAAAAGAATGCATTCATTTGTAAATTGTAAAGCATTAATAAAAATCATAAAAACAATTAGATTTCATCTAATTTTAAACATTGATAAAAGGGCATTAAATTAGTAGTTATAAGTTATAATTACCTCTTGGCATGAATCCTTCAGGATTGTGCAGCATTGTTTACCTTGTCTATCATTTGGCCTCCTTTTCCTGGAAGAAACATGAAATGAAATGCAGTCAGCAGTTTTTTCTCTTTTTTTTTTTTCACTAAAATAAAAACGAGCTATTGGGCTGCCTTTCCAAACAACTCAAACAGTAAAAGCGCCTTGTGGTGCAATAGGTGCAGGCGCAACGGGGTCTCACCCTCTCCGACGCCCCTTTCCAAGGAACTTAGGCCTAGTCCATCATTGAGTATGCTTCTCCAAACAACAATTAGGTCGTCGGGATGCCCCATTTTCAAACGTTATTGAATTATCACAATAGCATTTGACTACTCACCTGGGCTTGGCCTTTGGCCTGGCCAGCTTGGAAACCTGTATTCTGAGAGTCCATGGTCTTCACTAAAGATTTCTTCTTAATAACACAAACACTTTAATTGAAGTAGTTTAATTGGTGAGTTTGATTCGAGGATTTCATTGATAATTTATAGTCTTCAAGTATCAATCAATTGCTTGACAAGTGGAATACAAAATGAAGTGGGTTCTTGACACTTGGCATCCAATGGTTGAAATTGGAGAATGTTCAGGCCTTTAGACCAGGGCTGCTGTTGAACCAGTCTATTATTCAAATTTTATAGTTGGATTTTGATAAAATACTCTGTTTTGTATAGATTTAAAATGATAAAAGCCAAAACTTAATGTTTAATAAGATTATAATTTTGCCCATCATTTGCTTAATAAGGTTCGAGTTCAAGTTTTGTCATGGCATCTACATGACCGAATGTTATTGTTTTTTATTTTCTAAAGATTGTAGGGTTCGATGAGAGTTCCAGTTTCAAAATTTTAAAGTTCGAGTCCTCTCATAAACACTTATATGGTTAAAGATTATTATTTCCTACTTTCCAAAGTTTTAGAGTTTGGCAAGAACTTTGACTTCAATTCTTTGAGATTCGAGCTCTATTATGAGCATTTACATAGTTAAAAGTCATTGTTTCTTATTTTGTAAGGATTATAGGGTTTGAAAAAAACTTCAGTTTTAAATTGGCACAAGAGGGAATACATTGGCATCTATGTAGTCAAAGACCATCATTTCTTATGTTGTGAAAATTATAGGGTTCGACAAGAACTCTGGTTTTGAATTGGCTCCACAAAACCAAATTCGAAATATCTCTGAATTATCAATATATTCACCATATATGGATGCATATTGTACTTTTCATTTGCGAATTTGCTTTATGGCTTCAGAAAGACCAGTGTTTTATTTTATTTTTTTAATCTTTATGAATTGTGTACTCCTTCGTCTTTAGGATTGGGTCTCTTAGCCACTTCTTATTTGCTTAAACAAGTTTAATGTTGTTGAAATGAATACAATACATGGTCAATTGTGGAGGATTGGATTAGTAACATTTAATTTTATTTTTTCTGGGATTATAAAGCATTAATTTTTCTTTGATGTTGAGCAACTAATAGACATGTTATAAAATATGAAGTAAACAAGAGACATAATATTCTAAGAAAGAAAGAATTTCTCTTCATAATTCAAATTTAATTAGTTGAAAAAGAATGAAGAAACATAACCACAACATAATCATGTCTTCCTCTTCATCATCTCAAAACAAAAACAAAAAACAAACAAAGATGAAAAGCTAAAAAATTTATTAATCTTTGATGAGAAGAACTGAATGGGATCCTATAATTCCTTCATTTGTTCATTCCAACTGTGCTCTTCACAGCATCCGTAGCATTTTGAGCTTTCGCCTGAGCTTGCTGCCCCGCCTGCAAAAAAAATGAAATTTCATTTGTAAATTGTAAACATCAATAAAAATCATAAAACCATTAAATTTCATCTAATTTTAAACACTGGAAAAAGGCATTAAATTAGAAGTTTATAATATTATAGTCACCTCTTGGCATGAATCCTTTGCAGATTGTGCAGCATTGTTTACCTTGTCCATCATTTGGCTTCCCTTTTCCTGGAAGAAACATGAAATGAAATGCACTCATCAGGTTTTTTTTTTTTTTTCTTATTTTTTCATTAAAAATTAAAAAAAAATTATTATTGTCATGAGCTATTTGGGCTGCTTTCCAAACAACCCAAATCGTAAAAAGCGCCTTGTGGTGTAATAGGTTCGGGCGCAACGGAGTCTCACCCTCTCTGACGCCCTTTTCCATAGGACTCAGGCTTAATTCACCGATGAGTGCCCTTCTCCAGACAACAATCAGGTGGTCCAGATGCCCAATTTTCAAACGTTAATGAATTGTCATGGACATGACATGATAGCATTTTACTACTCACCTGGGCTTGGCCTTCGGCCTGGCCAGCTTGGAAGCCTGTATTCTGAGAGTCCATGATCTTCAGTAAAGATTTCTTCTTAATAACACAAACACTGTTTAATTGGTGTGTCTAATTCGAGGATTTCATTCATAATTTATAGTCTTCAAGTATCAAACAATTGCTTGACAAGTGGAATGCAAGATGAAGTGGCTTCTCGACACTTGGCATCAATGGTTGAAATTGGAGAATGTTCAGGCCTTTAGACCAGGGCTGCTGTTGAACTAGTCTATTATTCAAATTTGATAGTTAGATTTTGATCAAATACTCTGTTTTGTATAGATTTAAAATGTTTAATAAGATTTTAATTTCATCCACCATTTGCTTAATAAGGTTCGGGTTCAAGTTATATCATGGGCATCTACATAACCAAATGTTAATATTTTTTGCTTCCTAAAGATTGTAAGGTTCGATAGAGCTTCAACTTCAAAATTTTGAAGTTTAAATCCTCTCATAAACACTTACATAGTTAAAGATTATTAATTCTTTTGTAGGGTTTGACAAGAACTCTAATTTCAATTTTTTGGGATTCGAGTTCCCTCATGAGCATCTACATATTTAAAGATCATTGTTTCTTATTTTATAAAGATTGTAGGGTTTGACAAAGACTCTAGGTTTAAATTGGCTTCACAAGAGTGAATTTATGGTATCTACATAATCAAAGACCATCGTTTCTCATTTTATGAAAATTATAGGGTTCAACAAGAACTCTGGTTTTGAATTGGCTTCACAAAACTAAATTCGAAATATCTCTGAATTATCAATATATTCACCGTATATAGATACATATTGTACTCTTCATTTGCGAATTTGCTTTATGGCTTCACAAAGACCAATTTTTTTTTTCTTTTTATCTTTATGACTTGTGTAGTTCTTCGTCTTCAAGATTTGGTCTTTTAGCCACTTCTTATTGTTCAAACAAGTTTAATGTTGCTGAAATGAATACAATACATGGTCTTCACTATTATCATATATTATACAGTGTTTTTAAAAACTGCATATAACCACTTATAAGTAATAGAAAACCTCAATAAAGTAAAATTTTAAAAAGCTCTCAAAAACCTACATGTAACTATCTTTTATCATTTATGTAGCAAAATATTCAATAACCCCCGAAAATTAAACACAAATTTTTTTTCAAAAAGGCCCTTTTTCCGACCAAACCCAGGCCCCGCCCGGGCATTAAAAACCCGGGCTTGTAATTTTTCCTGGGCGTAACTGGACAGGCCCTTTTATGTGATTGCAAAAAATAAGGTTTTTTCTAAAGTCATAAATTTTTATTTCTTGGTACACCTTTTTTCCTAAAATGTATAAAATGGAAATGATTTTTATCCCCTGCATAATTTATTAGTATTCTGCATTATTTAGTACAATTCTATTTATTTTTAAAACCTCGATTAATACCAAAATTACCCTAAAAGATTTAGATTTTTTTTTTCTAACTTCTAATGTATCCAAACCCACATTGAAGCTTACCGAATCTCAAGATCATGGAATTCACTTAAATATGAGATCAAGGGGACCCCAGTTGCATACTAAGCCCCTTTTACCAACTGGCCACAAGGTAAGTGGTTTTATTTTACACCCTATTCCCATTACTTAAATGATTTCTTATTTTCAAGGCTTATCATTCATGGAGTCAATTTGCCATCTCTGTTTAAAATCAGTAATTTTTTTTCGTTTTCTTTTGTTTTTTTTTTTTTTTTTGCCTTTAGGATTGGTTTTCTTAGCCACTTATTATTGCTTAAACAAGCTTAATGTTGTTGAAACGAATACAATACAAGATCAATTATGAAGGATTGGATCAGTAACATTTAATTTCATTTTTTCTATGATTATAAAGCTTTAGTTTTTCTTTTATGTTGAGCAACTACTAGAAATGTTAATCACCACAGGTTGGCCTGATAGTAAAAGAGCCAAAGACGATCTAACATGATCTCTCAAATTCAAGTCTCCACAATTACTAATAGAGTAGCCACTGAAACTTTTACCCGACCGGTAGTTGAACTACCAATGTTATATAAAATATGAAGTAAACAAGAAACATAATATTCTAAGAAAGAAAGAATTTCTCTTCATAATTCAATTTTAATTAATTGAAGAAACATAACTACAACATAATCCCGTCTTCCTCTTCATCGTTTCAAAACAAAAACAAAGATGAAAAGCTCAAAAATTTATTAATTTCTGATGAGAAAAGCTGCATGGAATCCTATAATTCCTTCATTTGTTCATTCCAACTGTGTTCTTCATAGCATCCACAGCGTTTTGAGCTTTCGCTTGAGCTTGCTGCCCCGCCTGCAAAAAAATGCAATTTCATTTGTAAATTTTAAACATCAATAAAAATCATAAAACCATTAAATTTCGTCTAATTTTAAACACCGGAAAAAAGCATTAAATTAGTAGTTCATAATATTATAGTCACCTCTTGGCATGAATCCTTTGCGGATTGTGCAGCATTGTTAACCTTATCAATCATTTGGCCTCCCTTTTCCTGGAAGAAACATGAAATGAAATGCACTCATCAGGTTTTTTTTTTCCTTCTTATTTTTTCATTAAAAATAAAAAAGGATTATTGTCAAGAGTTATTTGAGCTGCTTTCCAAACAACCCGAATTGTAAAGAGCGCCTTGTGGTGCAATAGGTTCAGGTGTGACAGGGTTTCACCCTCTCCAACAACCCTTTCCAAGGGACTCGAGCCTAATTCACCGATGAGTACGCTTCTCCAAACAACAATTAGGTGGTCTAAATGCCTGATTTCCAAATGTTAATGAATTATGATAGTATTTTACTACTCACCTGGGCTTTGCCTTCGGCCTGGCCAGCTTGGAAGCCTGTATTCTGAGTGTCCATGATCTTCACTTAAGATTTCTTCTTAATAACACAAACACTGTTTAATTGGTGTGTTTAATTTGAGGATTTCATTCATAATTTATAGTCTTCAAGCATCGATCAATTGGTTGACAAGTGGAATGCAAAATGAAGTGGGTTCTTAACACCTGGCATCTAAGGGTTGAAATTGGAGAATGTTCAGGCCTTTAGACCAGGGCTGCTGTTGAACTAGTCTATTATTCAAATTAGATAGTTGGATTTTGATCAAATACTCTGTTTTGTATAGATTTAAAATGTTTAATATGATTTTAATTTCATCCACCATTTGCTTAATAAGGTTCGGGTTCAAGTTATGTCATGGGCACCTACATGACCAAATGTTATTATTTTTTGCTTCCTAAAGATTGTAGGGTTTGATAAGAACTCCAGTTTCAAAATTTTGAGGTTCAAGTTCTATTATAGACATTTACATGGTTAAATATTATTATTTCCTATTTCTAAAAGTATGTAGGGTTTAGCAAGAACTCCAATTTTGATTTTTTTGGGATTCGACCTCCCTTATGAGCATTTACATAGTTAAAGGTCATTGTTTTTCATTTTATAAAGATTGTAGAGTTTGACAAGGACCCTAATTTGGGTTTGACTTCACAAGACCAAATTCATAGACATCTACATAGTCAAAGACTATTATTTCTTATTTTATGAAAATTACAAGTTCGACCAAGGGCGTATCCAGCCCATTTGAGAGTTAGATTTATAAAAAAAAATATATATATTAATATATATACCCAGGCCCACCTTTAGATTTTTTAAAAATAAGAATTATTATATATATATTTAGGTCCACATAAAACTTATTAATATATATATATTCCAAGTACACATCATATTAAAAACTTGAAACTTTCTCTACTCTTTTTTTTTCTACGGCTCCACTAGCTTTTTATGATTTTATCTTCAAAATTCTTTCCTCTCTAATTTTCTCATTTTCTTTCTTATGCTATTCGCTCTTAAAACTTTTGAAGACTAATGTTGTTGAAGCTTTCACTATTCAAGATGTCACAATTAGCTTCGTATTATGTTTTATCAGTTTTAGGTATATGTATTGCTCATTTCAATTTAGTTTATTTTAGGGTTGAATTATGCTTGTTTTTTTTTTTAAGGTTTTTAATTCTAATTTGAGGGAAAAAGACATGGATTTTGTGAGTTTATTTTATGTTTTGTGTTTGAAAATGAACTTATTTTCCCAAATTAAAACCTTAACTATTTGAAAAGACATTATTCTTCACCCTTCACTCACTACTTTTCTATATTTCAAACATCACCGTTCAGCTGCTCAAAATTATTAAAGAAATTTGAGTTACTATCTATATTTATACCAAGAAAATTCTCCTTTTTTTTTATTAATTCATATTAAAAGTCAACGCAACGTTGACTTGATTTAAGTTTTAGTTGACTTTAGCTTATGCTAGGTCCGAACAAAGTCATGAAAATTTATATTATAATCTTTCGAAACCAAAAATTAAAAAAATAAAAATAAAATAAGTTTTTGCTCAAGGTTTACTCAATAAATTTACTCAAAATTTTGCTTCTCATAGATTTATTCAAGTAAGAAAGTATTGTGTTATTGTTTTTATTTTTTGTTGTTTAAGATTTAGTAATTTTTTAAAGTTTTCACTAGTTGTTTGACAAACAATGGTGGAGCCCCGGGGACCACCCCCCCCCCCCTCCCCCCCCCCCGGTTAAATCCTAGATCCGCCACTGGGTTTGACAAAGAATTTTTTTTTTTTAGGTGACATAATTGCCTCTTCGCAATTTGAAGACAAAACCTCTTAGTATAGTAACCTCACTGTAATGATTTGTTATTCAGCCACAAACGGAGAGTGAATTCTAGTTTTTAATTGGCTTCACAAAAGCAAATTCGAAATATATCGAAATTTCAATAATTCACTGTATATGGATGCATATTGGTACTTACTTGCGAATTTAATGATTGAATTGTGAACATGGTATATGAAATTTGTTCGACCCCACCTACCGAATGAATTGAATGAGAATAGTAAGCTTTCTGGAACGAAAGTAAATCATTTGATTCCACCACCCGTACCCAGAGTAGTACCATACTCGAATCTTGTTAAGAAAACCACACCTTCACTTTATAAAAAAAAAAAAAATTAAAGATGAATACAAAAAGAGGAACTATTGAACATGTGGTGGGTGGTTCATGCAAGCCTTATCATTTATTGTCCTTTTCTATAATTTACCCATTCCACAAATTCAAATTGCATTTGATTAATTGAAAGCTTAATCAATCCCAATTTGCCTTTTATAACTCAACATCATATCCTAGTCAGATCCAACCATTAATCCCTCTAATTTTAAGTTTATTAGCTTAATTAAATTAAATTATTAAATTATTTATTCCCGGCGGTCAACCAGAAAACGAATCATAATTTTCCATTGAAGAACAATTCATAGAGTATTTTCAGATAATTATTTAATTTGTGCTTAATTTAGGGTCAAAAATTTATCTAATTACAAGATAAATCAAACCCAATTTGGGAAAATTTAATTAATTAATATGCTTTAAAGGTGACATTCTAAACACAAACTAAATTAAATCCAAAAAACATTTAATTAGGCAAACTAAAGATTCTAAGAGAGTTAACGACTTTATCCACAAAAATGGTTTAAGGATATTTTCTAACACAAACTTTTAAAATACGACTTTATACCATATTTATATTTCAGCAGAAACAGAGGCAATCTCGGTCCCAACTATTGAGGCTTTAGAAGAAAAAGAGGTCAATGAGTCTTTGGTGCGTGAATGATGGATTCTAGTGGTTGGGATTTATCAGAATTTGACTTGGAGGGGCGGTTGCGAAACTCTAATCGCTTTATATCGGGACTGACGGGATCGGTAGAATAGGGTTGAAGGGTTTTAATGAGTGATGATCGAAAAAGAGAATAGTGGTGGTATGAAGTCGTAACGATGTTGAAATTGAAATAAAATATAAATTTGGATAATAAAATGATATTTTAAAAATTTGTGGGTGGAAAAGGGTATTTAAACCATTGTTTGGTGGGGAAAAAAGGCGTTTTCTCATTCTAAAATATTTATCTCAAAGTTGTCCGATGTAGCTCCACGTAGGCATGAGTCAACTTGATTTCATTTACAGCTGTCTACACGTCCATCAACTAAATTTCAATTTTCAAATAATATATATTTTTCTAAAAAAGGAAATATATTAAAAAAAAAATCTCATTTTTAATATGCGTTTTTTAAAAATGACAAGTAAATATATTAATATATTTAAGTAATTAAGGTCTTGTTATTGCTTAAGGGAGTTACAGTGATCAGTAAAAAATAATTTACCTAATAAAAAAGATATAATTATTAAGTACCATTTGTGAATATATTTTTAATATTTTCTTTTAAGAAAACATATTATGCCAAAACATATTCTGGTACTTTCCAAATATGATTATAATTTTTTAAAAATATTTAGAATTTAAAAATAAAAAGAAACATATTATAATTTTTTGATAATTTAAATACATTTTGCCCCTGGAAGTTTCACCTTAGTATTTACATCTACTAGTATCCAATAGTAAACTTAAGTCCTTATCAGTAAGGTAAAATTATTTTTATTTTTTTCAAAAGACTAAAAATACCCCTTCTATGTGAATTTTTATTTTAATTATAATTTTTATAATTGTTATATTCAGTTAGCAGCTTTTTAATGTCATTCACGTAGAATAAGATTAGGGTTATTTTAGACTTTTAATAAAAAAGTTTTGATAGAATTGCTATCTGATAAGCGTTTCTATTAGATTCTATTGCACCTAATTTACTTGGGCCAAATCCCGAGGACTAAAATGTATTTAACTAATACATCATTTTTATTCTTATTATAAAAAAATATCAATTAACACCTCAGTATGCTTTTTATTTCGTTATATAACCCTCCTCCCAGTTGAAGCATTTGTTCATTGTGTTATCTTCTCACATTCAGAGGCAGAGGAACCAAAGAGAGAGAGATTCCAAAAGCAAAAATTAAAAAAGAAATCTTCAAAAAGTTCGATCTCAACCTTCTATGGCCATTCGTTTTTCCCAACCAAAGCCCCTCCACAAACTCCGCTACTTAACAAGGACGCTCAATTCTGCTTCCTCCTCCATAAGCGCCGTTTCGCCGCTGAATTTTGCGGAGAAACCGGAGCCGACCATTGAGAAACACGACCCCTTTTCCTCACCGCTCAACATTTACGACCATGAGAAGCTATTCAGCTTGATTTCCTCTGCCAAATTGTTGCGTTCCGTTTTCAACCTCAACCTCGCCGCCGTCGAGCCTGTTGTTGATCTCGGCAAGTGGGTTATGAATTCCAGGCTAATGGACATCGATATAACCCGCGAAGCCATCACCGGCTTGGTTAGACACACGTTTTACGAACATTTCTGCGCCGGCGAATCCTCTGCGGAGGCCAAACGCTGCGTCGAGAAAGTTAATGAGGCCGGCTTGAGAGGGATGTTGGTTTACGCAGTGGAGCATACGGATGATGCAAATGAATGTGACCAGAATTTGCGAGGCTTTCTTCAGACTGTTGAATCTGCAAAGACGCTTGCTCCATCTTCGGTAAGATTATTAATTTTCTTTTTATTTCAACTTTATCATTATCATTATCATTAATTTTTGTCGTAATCTTGAGTTTTTTTTTTTTTGAGTTTTTGATTAGTAACGTTTCATGTTTATCTAATTAATCCTATTTACAGTACTTGACGAGTTGACGGTAAATGCTGGTAAGATTTTTTACTAATTAATAGGTGAAATGGTCAAATAATGTGATTAATTTCTGGTGGTGTTTGTTGTTTTTGTTTCTATCATAAAACATTAATAGCTTTTATTATTTAAAAAAAAAAAAAATTTCTGGAAACTTCTTATTTAAAGTTAGCAATAATCTTTTGTTCCCCGCCGTCGCCGCCGTCTTCTCCCTCTAAAAGACGGTCGGTGTTGTTGGAAATTGACGGCTGGTATTAATTTAAAGTCACTTTCAAAGCGTGTTTCAAAAAAGGACTTGTCTAAATAATTAGAAAAAAAGCAATAAAAAAATAAAAAATAGAATCCTGTTTTTTGATCTTTTCCTAGACAGGGGTATATGGAAAGTCGAATAAATAATAAATTTATTAAAGAAAGCAAAAGGGAAATTGTTTAAGTTATCAGAGAAATTAAATGATAAATCTTATCATCGCTGATTCATCTCCAGCTAAGAAAAGTAAAGAAACAGCTTCACTGGGACCAATCTAAGTGGTCACATTAATTAAGTTCGTACTGGAAAAAAGTCAGGTCAGTAAATGCATCGGTCATGGACAAAACACAGGATTTGAATATTTTGAGGCCGTGCATGTTGCCAACTTGGCAATACTTAAGATCCTCTCGCTGGCAACATAATCTCCACTTGACAGTACTTTTGTAAATAATGACAAATTTGTTCCGTACATGTGTCAGTTCTACCTTCAGAGTAGGGGAATCTATTACTTGTCATTCCGTCAATTTTTTTAATTTTTTTTTTGTTTTTTTGGGGTGCAGGTGAGCTTTGTGGTTGCGAAAATCTCTGCGATTTGCCCAATGAGTATATTGAAGAGAGTCAGTGATTTACTGAGATGGCAACATAAGGATTCTTCCTTCAGGCTTCCATGGAAGTTCAATGATTTTCCGATTTTCTCCGATCACAGCCCTTTGTATCATACGCTCGAGAGACCGGAACCGTTGACACAAGAGGAAGAAAACGAACTCCAAGTGGGTTATGACAGATTACTGAAATTGTGTCGGGAATGCGAAGAAGGGAATGTTCCGTTGGTGCTTGATGCGGAGGACACGGTGGTGCAACCGGCCATTGATTATTTGACGTACGCGTCTGCGATTACGTACAATAAAGTTGATAATATAATTGTATACAACACAATTCAAGCGTATTTGAAGGATGCGAAACAAAGAATGTTGCTTGCGACGGAAGCCGCCGAGAAAATGGGAGTTCCGATGGGGTTTAAGCTGGTGAGAGGAGCGTACATGTCGAGTGAAAGTAGGGTGGCGACTTCTTTAGGTTGTGAATCTCCGATTCACAACAGCATTCAGGAGACGCATGCATGCTACAATGAGTGTGCTTCGTTCATGCTTGACAAAATCGCCAATGGCTTTGGTGCACTTGTTCTTGCAACGCACAACGTTGATTCAGGTAGTATATAAATGTTCAATGCATTTAGATTTTACTGTTAGTTTCCGGGGCCTAAAAGAAGAAATGCTGGAAATATTCACAGGGAAAATGGCGGCAGCGAAGGCGATGGATTTGGGAATCGATAAAAGGAGCTCGAGACTTGAATTTGCGCAGCTGTATGGAATGTCAGAGGCGTTATCGTTTGGACTGAAAAATGCAGGGTTTAAAGTGAGCAAGTATATGCCATATGGACCCATTGACATGGTGATGCCGTATCTTCTGAGGCGGGCAGAAGAGAACAAGGGATTTTTAGCTGCCTCTAACCTTGATAGGCAACTCATGAGGTAAAAAAAAAAAAATAATAATAATAATCTTTTACAAAAATGATTTCAGAAAACAGAACAATGTATTTGAAAAGATGTTGATGAAGTTGTGTTTTTGAATGTGATTGCAGCAAGGAGTTGAAAAGAAGACTGAGTGCTTCAATATTCTAAGTTGAAGACAATTCAGATGATGACGAAGACGAAGACGAAGATGATGATGATGAAGGGTGTGGAATAATAAAAGCTTTGGGAAATTGCAAATATTTGTAATTAATAAATTAGAAAGACTTTGTAGTAATTTTCTCCTTTTTAAATAATATTTTCGTATTTTATGGTTCCCAGCCTAAAAAAATCTCCCATGTGCTACATTTTCTGTCTTGGAATTAATTCAATTTCAACGGCGATAATCATGGCTAAGGCTAAGGCTAATTTTAATTGTGAATCAATTACGTAAAATGACAATATATTCAAGACTCGAGACATATTCCATTTGAAAGTGTTTACACACTTTCTTTCTTTCTTTCTTTCAAAAGCAAAGAAAAGTATATCTCAACAAATCACTTTGAAACACTTATCACATTTATGACATTTATCACACTTATCTGATTAATTGAGTTTATAAGATGTTTAATGAGTGAAAATTAGTTAACGTGCGTATGAATTGATCAAGATATCCTGGATACAAAAAANAAAAAAAAAAAAAAAAAAAAAAAAAAAAGGTATGTTTTAAAAAACAACAATATAATAAAATAACAAGTTTTACATTCATGAGAGTAATATACTATTCTTTTCAAAACTCATTTCAAATTTTATATTCTAAATGCATATGGTATTGTAGTATCATTCAATATGTCATCACTTTATTTTTTTATTTACATGTCAATGCCACATATTTAACACATTACTTGGAGTATAAGATTTTAGATATAGTAGAATATCTCTATGGTTATAGTAGTGTGATCATATTAATTTTATTAATACGAAAGTTATAACTTAATAGAAAGGTAGTTACAAAAATTATTTTTTTGATTTAATTATCCTTTGTGCAACACTATAAGTGGTATAAAGGTAAAGTATGTATTACATTAATAATTAATTAATAGAGAATATCAAATCCACGATATAGACATTGATAAAATAGATAGACACAGTTTTAAAAAACTAGTACATGCACGTATCTATGCACTGTTAAATATATGCAAAATCATTGTAAAAGTCTAAATTTTTGCATTCTCTTTAATGTTTTTCTCTCATTGTAAAATCTATAAATACATTGTACTATAACATAACCTATGCAATCTTCAACTAATTTAAGTAATATAGCATGTATTTCTTTTTACAATATATATATAATTATTACTATATGAAGACAAATTTCTTAAAACCAGACCTAAACAATTATTCCTGAAAAATGTTGTTAGATTCCTTTGCCAAATATCATTTCAATCTAATAACGAATCTAATAACTTTCAAACATAGTATTATAAGTTATAAAATCAAATATAACCACGTCTTTATTATAGACCTAGTCACGTGAGTGTCTATATATATATATATATATGATTTTTATTTTTTAAAAAAGAAAAAGTTGCATGTGATAAGAATGGTGAGTAGGGTGGGTCCGGTGGGAGCCAGAACACGTCGATCAGCGGTGTACATTGACATTGTTTTCTCCTAAAATGAGGCAATGCTGCATCAGCTATGACGTGGAGATCAAATTCTATAAGGTAAGCAGGTTGTGTGGGGCCATCCATGTGGGAATGATGTGGAACCAAATGTCGTCCTAATAAATTATAATAAACAAATTTAGGTGAGAGATCCGCTCTGCGCTGCTCCCACATTTTTGGGCATGTGCATTGAATTCAAACCGTATACAACAAGTACTCCACTTCCCCACTTGCACCCTTTCCCCAAAGATATTAGGATTAAATTAATATATTTATTATTTTTAAATATAAAAAGCGTCAACTTTAACTTACTGGCTTTTACCGTTTCTGTTGTCGGTGTTTGTAACATGTCCAACTAGATGAATTATATATTAATAAGAACAGCAACCGACAGTTTCCAATCCCACCGGATATTTTGCAAAATTTCAACTTGATACATCTAATTACATTTATTATAGATTTTTACCTTTAAAGTACCATCATTTCTTTTTATTTTAATAGATTTTCAAATTTTTACTGTATCACATACGTTAGCACGTTAAAGTATGTCAATGCTTTCTTTAGTAAAAGACGGGCTTATGTTAAAAAAAAAAAGGCTCAAGTTAGTAGCATCCAAGTTGACGGTTTTTGGTTTTTTTAGACCAATTTTGAAATCCAAAATCACTTTTGAGACCACCGTTAGACTTCTCACAACCTCCTCTATAAAACTTATACCTTCACTTGCCAACCTCACTCACTATTTCTGAACACCTCCAACAGTCACTAATAGTGTTAGTTTGAGAAGGGGGGAGGGGACTCTAGAATAAATGTAACTACAGGCATCAACTTGAGATTTCGCTAAATCTCGAGTGGGAATATATCCTTTACTCTAATAAGAATATACTTTTTAATTTAATAAATTAAAATTTTCACCCAGAATCATATGTTGTTTTAGTATGTAAATAAATTATATAATCGCTTCATATTCGGCATATGAAAAATTTGAAATTATATATATAAGATTGTCTCTATTTTGATATTCTGTATAAAAATAACCTCTATGTTGTCATAAAAAATTCTGGTCTCAACTTAGACCAGTTATAAATAAGAATAAATTCTACATTATAATAAAGTTATAATTTTTCTAGATCTCATTTTAAGAAACTTGCTTCCATATAGTAATAATTATTTGTATTAACTTTCAGTTTGCACACCTCAATACAAATATTTTAAGTCAATTGAGTTTGTGTATAAACTTTTGGTGGCATGATTGATTTGCTAGAGGGAGAATGAAGAGTGTCACTTGGATTGGTTGAAAATTGCATGAGTTGTGTTATAGTACAATATATTTATAGAATTTACATTGACAAAAAAAAAATTAAAGAAAATGCAAAATTTTAGGGTCCGTTTGGTTCTTTTTTTCATACTCTATTCCCAATCTTATTCTCAAAATAACTGTTTGTTTCTTTATTTAGGAAATACTATTATATTTTATTTAATTACTTTTAGACCTCTTAAGTTTATTAATTTAATTAAACACCCCTAGAAAAAAATTTAAAAATTAACAAAAACACCCCCATCCACCCATAGTTGCCAGATTCCAACAATCACCGTCGGTGGTAGCCGGAATCTATCACAACGACGTACAAACGACCGAAACTGACCGATAATTCGCTGATTTGACCTTTTCCAGCCAGATCCACAGTGGATTTGGTTGTCGTTGACCAACAAGGTCAATGACAACCATATCTTTGACGGCCAGATCTGGCATTTTGTGGCCGTTGACGGCCAAATTTGGTCGAAAAAAGCTAGATCGATGCAGGACCAGTCTGCGTCGTAACGCTAGATTCCGACCAGATTCCGACGATGGTGGCCGGAATCTGGCATTGTGGGTGGGTAGGGGTGTTTTTATCATTTTATAAAATTTTTATATATTGGGGTGTTTAGTTAAATTAGCAAACCTATGGGTTTTTTTGTTAATTTTTAAATTTTTCCTCGTAATAATCACCCTACTCAACTATCAAATACTATTTCCAAAATCCTATCCAAAATAACAAACCAAACATACCCTTAGACTTTTGAGATAACTTTGCATATTCCTAATACCATATAGATACAAGTACTAGTTTTTTGAAACTATGTCTATCTCTTTTATCAATGTTTATACATTTTAGATTTGACATTTTCCATTAATTAGTTATTAATATAGTGCGTGTGTACGATGAAGCTAGGTGGAAAGCTAAATAAGAGTACCAGAAGATTCAAGATCAATAAGATTCCAAGGCCATTTGAAGAGTAAATTCTATATAGCAATAGCTTCCATGTAGTCATAAAAAATTTTAATCCCACTTGAGTCAATTATAAATAAGAATAAACTCCACATTGTGATAAGTTATAATTTTCTAAGTCTCGTCTTAAGGAACCTGTCTCTACATAATAATAATCATTTGTATTAACTTTCATTTTGCACAACTCAATATAAATATTTTCGGTCAATTGAGTTCATGTATTAACTTTGAGTGGCATGGTTGATTTGCTAGAGGAAAAAGGAAATGTATCACTTGAATTGGTTGATGATTGCATGAGTTGTGTTATAGTATAATGTTTTTATAGAATTTACATTGAGAGAAAAACATTAAAGAGAATGCAAAATTTTAGACTTTTAAGATAATTTTGCATATTCCCGATACTACATTGATACAAGTACTAGTTTTCTGAAACTATTCTATCTTTTTTATCAACGTCTATACTAGATTTGACATTCTCCATTAATTAATTATTAATGTAATGTGTGTGTCCAATTAAGCTAAGTGGAAAGCTAAATAAGAATACCACAAGATTCAAGATCAATATGATTCCAAGGCCATTTGAAAAGTAAATTCTATATAGGAATAAATAACATGTAGTCATAAAAAATTCTAATTCCAACTTGAACTAGTTATAAATAAGAATAAATTCCACATTGTAATAAGATATAATTTTCTAAGTATCGTCTTAAGGAACTTGTCTCCACATAGAAATAATTATCTGTATTAACTTTCATTTTGCACAACTCAATACAAATATTTTCGGTCAATTGAGTTCGTGTATTAACTTTGAGTGGCATGGTTGATTTACTAGAGGAAGAATGAAGAGTATCACTTGAATTGGTTGACGATTGCATGGATTGTGTTATAGTATAATGTTTTATAGAATTTACATTGAGAGAAAACATCAAAGAGAATACAAAATTTTAGACTTTTAAGATAATTTTACATATTCCCGATACTATATTAATACAAATACTAGTTTTATAAAATTATGTTGATCTCTTTTATCAATGTCTTTACATATTGGATTTGAGATCCCCTATTAATTAATTATTAATGTAGTGTGTGTCCAATGAAGCTCGGTGGAAAGCTAAATAAGAATATACCACAAGATTCAAGATCAATAAGATTCCAAGGCCATTTGAAAAGTATATACGACACATTATTCAAAGAGAATCCAAGGAAAAGTTAAACCTGTGAAATGAGTTGGTGGCCGCCATTATTGACCCGTGGCTGCAGAGTGGGAATCAAAGTGGAATCCCAACCAGCTGGGAGTGTCAGACGATTGATTTTCGAGAGGATGGAATCTCTACGAATGCGGACAAGAAGTGCAACTTTATATTTCTGAAAATGACAATCAACATAGGAATCAACCACCCATTTTTACGCATGAAATCAAAGTATTGCCCACTTCTTTTGAATGTTTTTACTTGTTGAAATGTGGTAAAGAATATTGTAGAGGGAGGGAAAAAGAAAGCTGCACATGAAATGCAGCCAGAGCCAACCATATATAAAAGTGCAGATAGAATCAGCAAGAAACAAGATTCCATGATATTGACTTCCACGTAACATCATTAATATTAAATAGAATAGTATTCACTAAATAATGGACCAAGAGACTGAAAATGGCATGTTGGGGCTCAAACTGCCAAACATTAATCATCCATTTTCCAGTATTGCTGTCAAAGTTTGATTCCATTTTCAATCACTTTTCATGTAAATCCATGCACACTTACCAATATTTGATACTTTTGACAATTCAAATCAATAGTAAATATGTTGTTAATCACCACAATCTTTCAACAACTAGCCCACTGCCCACTTAGTGTAAGCCCATGCATTTCATACCAGATACACAGATATCATAAAGTTTTCCAGAAAGCAAACATTGTTTTGTTTATTTGATTTTACTTCCATTTTTTTTTTTTTTAATAACATTTTCAATATATTTAACGAACTTTTGGAAAAACAAAAGGAAGAAAAAGTTAAGTTCTATTAGTATTCTGCAAGATGTATTTTTCAAAGTTCGATTGGTGAACTCATATGGTGATAACATACCTCAATATCAGAAGCACATCTTACATCCAAAAGAAAGAATTTACTGGTTATCTACTGGTATATAATGATAGCTAATTCTATAATATTTTATTTGTAAGTCAGACCGTCTTATATATGTATAACTAATTTGATACATATGATCAAACTCAAATCATATATCATATGCTTAAACAGTAACAATGGGACCTGGGAAACATCATTGAAACACATTCACAGGCTTATATCATATCTAACCTACCAGTCAGCTCTAATTCGGTGTCTATCTGAAATGCTCTATAAAATTTATGATCCTAATGTTAGAGATGGGTATAAGCACGGGATAATAAACCACAGGCCACCCATTTCTCCATCATTATGGTAGCGACCTTCATCATCAATATGATGACCTTCTCAATCTACAGATGGCCATTCACTAATTGGACGTCTGTTAGCTTGGGGGCCAATAGCGGATTTCACAATTACTGAAACTGAGGGCCTTACTCAGAGCAAAGAAAGATACTAATTTGTGCAGCTAAAAGCGAAAGAACACAACAGTTTCACTGATTTCAATGGGTACATCTCTTGAGCAAAAGATTGTAAAGAGAAATCAAAATTGCTTATGCACTTAGATCTTAGAAAAACCTCGACAATAGCGAAACCGATGAATCACAGTAAAAGCACTGAGAAAGCACACATACTCATCAGCTTAGAGTTTGATAGCCTAAAGGCCCTGGCAAACTATCCTGTTTTGTGTCATTTCTTCCCATGAGAGATGGTATCCATGGGAAAATTTTCCCAAGCTCTTCGCTTATTGTAGTAGGCTTTAGCTGTCTATCATTGATCCCAAACTTTGCCCTTTCTATAGCTTCCATTATGTCTTCCCTTGTCACAGTTTCACTGCCTGCAACACCCAAAATTAAAATGTTATATTCCATTTAAATGGTCAGAAACTCAGAATTGTAATCTTCATAAAGTAATTTTAAGTTAACAATTTTCCTTTGTTTACCAAAAAATGAATTAGAAAACAACATAAATAAAAACCAGGTGTCAAAGAAAAGACAATGGAGATAGGAAGGCAGAGCATGGGGGTCAGTGTAGATAGGAAGGGCTTGACACTCAGAGAAGATGTCAGGAAAAAATCATAGAAGACTTAACTGGTAAGATTATAACTACCATATGCAAGAGTAAAATGTTGTTGGAGGCAGAAATAAAGCAGGTAGCAATGTGCACATACAAAATACTTCAACCTCACCTCGACGAGCAGCAAGTAAAGCAGATTCATTCACGATGTTTGCTAGATCAGCACCTACAAAGCCTGGGGTGACAGAAGCAACAAGATCACCAATAAGACGTGTATCTTCTTCCAGAGGAATACCCCTCAAATGCACAGACAAGATCTTTCTTCTTCCTTCCTCATCAGGTTCTCCTACAAGAACTTTTCTGGAGAAGCGACCAGGGCGACAAAGGGCTGGATCCAATGCCTCTGGCCTATTAGTTGCTGCAATGACAACCACTTTCATGTCTGACTCAAATCCATCCATTTCAGTCAGCAACTGTAAGGGCAGATTTGTTAAAAGCCATTTTAGAGTAGGAAATTAATTTTGAGAACATAATGAAACATAAAGTTTGGCTTGTAAGACAGGTTAAAAAAGTTTAAGTTATAATTCTGAAGCACAAAATATAACTCATTAGAAATTTTTGCAATAATTCAAAATCATTGAATTTACTAATTAATACTCTTCTGGATTAGGTTAGTAATTGTAAAGCAAAATATTACTCGACAGAATTCAATCGAAATATCATTTATATTAATTCAAATAAATGAGAAAATTACAAGAAAGATGAACAAACTTCAATGTTAGCTTACCTGATTCAGTGTTTGGTCACGTTCGTCATTGAAACTTCTACCACGCTTTCCTCCAACTGCATCAAGTTCATCAATGAATATGATTGCTGGTGCACATTTCCTTGCTGCACTAAAGAGGTCTCTGATGCGAGCTGCCCCTCTTCCAACAAACAACTCCACAAATTCACTGGCAGAAACAGTGAAAAATGGCACTCCTGCTTCACCAGCCACTGCACGAGCAAGCAATGTTTTCCCAGTTCCAGGGGGACCCACCAGCAACACTCCTCTAGGTAACTTTGCTCCTAGTTTTTGGTAGTTTATTGCTCCTTGAAGGCATGAAACTATCTATAGACGAGAGTATGTCAATAAAGATAAATGGAAGAAAATAAAACTTTACTTGGCCAACCACAAGGGAGATCAGTTAACAAACTTAACATGGCATGCAAACATGAACACGAGTAAACGCTATATCTTCAAGGACTTTACACAAAAATATCTAAAATAAACTAGTCTTAGCAGAAAAAAAGAAACTAAAAGAGATCTCAAGATACTTTGACAACAGTTGTACATCATTTTTTTTTTTTTTTTTTTTGAGAAGAAACACAGTCGTGTATCATTTAACTTGCACAAATATCAAAATCAGATGAGCCAGTTACAGGCCCAGCAGCCTGTTTAAGGAGAGTCAGGAGACTGTTATGTGCTCTAGGAAATAAGTGTAACTGGAAAATTCAAACTTTAATTAGTAATACTAAGACTACCACAATAAAAATTCGAATAGTCAGAATATAAACAAAAGAAAATACATCCTGAACAAGAAGATTTTGGCAGTACACAAAATTAAGTTCATTCCTTTTTCTCTTCTCAGACCCAGAATAAATCACATTTATTATTTGGAAGCAGAAAAAGTGGCCACCATTAAGCCTAACACATGCTTCATGACTATATTTTTGACATTGCCATGTTACCGTAAGATCAAAACTGAAGCACCTGATGCTCCTCCAGGCTTACAATATAATCATAAACTTCTATTCCTCGCAAAGGATATTCACTTAATGCCAGGTCATAGTCAATAGAATTAACAGTGTAGTCCACATTAAATATTGAAGCTCAGAATGCCAAGATCCAGATTAAACTATAGGCTATCAGAAATTTAACATGAGCTTCATGATGATACCTTTGAGATGAATACTATATAAATTTATATCCCAACTTTTGCATCTCAAGCGATGTGGCACTGATTTCTGATTGTGATTTGGATTATGTGATTATGATAGACCTCCCATCAAGAAGGTGTACCAATACAGAGGGCATAAGAGTAAAAAGCCATAAGAGTGCATGCGTTAGTGGATAATAGTTTGAGGCGTGTGGCATGTGAAGAATCAATTAGTGAGAAGGGAATAATTCAGTTAACTGATTTATGTATAAAAGGGAGAGCTTAAGTAGGAAAGGGGAGAATTATTATCATTAGTCAGTTAAAGAGGTCCCCAGCTCCTCGAATTGATGGGACTATCTGTTGCATTTTCTATTTCATTGTAATTGAGCACTGCTCTAGGAATTGCCATTTCTATTGTATTAATACCATATTGAGTTGATCCAGCATTACATTTGAGTATTATCATTCAGTTTGTCTCTGTCGAGTTTGCTTATTGTGTTGCGTGATTGAGTGAGTTGCTTGGAGTTCTATCAAATTGGTATCAGAGCCTTGTGTGGGTAATGACTAAATCAAGAATGGAACAGAAGGTTGAAGGATTGGAGAAGGAAATAGGTAGTATGGAGAAGGAGCTAGGGGGAATGAAGAAAGAGTTGGGAAGTACCAAGAGATATCTACTTGAGCTACGAGAATGGATGAGGTTGAAGGAGAAAAGGGAGGCCAGTACTAGTCGCGATCAGGGCAAAACTACTCTGGGGGAGAATTCAAATAACAACGACAGTGGCGGAGTTGATCGGAATAAAGAAATCGAGAGATCTAAAGATGAGAGGAAGAGTAAGAAATTAGAGTTACCGGTGTTCAATGGGGAAGACCCCTATGGGTGGACTTTCAGAGCGGATCGTTATTTCTTAGTCAATCATTATGCGAAGGAAGAGAAGGTAGAAGTGTCGTGGTTTGTATGGAGGGGCGTGCACTGAATTGGTATCAGTGGGTTGAATCAAGAGCGCCAATCAGTTCATGGGAAGCCTTTAAGGCTGCTGTGGTTGCAAGGTTTCGTCCATCCTTTAAAGGATCAGCATACGAAGCACGAGTAGCATTAAAACAGACCTGAACAATCACAGAATACAGGGAGAACTTTGAGGCACACACCACACCTTTGCGCGAGGTAGAGGAGAACTGTTAATGGGGGTATTTCTCAATGGACTCAAAGAGGAGATCTGGGCCGAATTGCGCCTAGCCCAACCAACCACACTTTTTACACTAATTGAACAAGCCCATTGAGTAGAGGAGAAGAATTGGGTTTTGGAGAAGAGTAGGTCCAACTCGTTTAGAGCCCAAAACACAAAAATGAAGCATCCCAGATCCATGGCGCTCAAATGCGTGGAGCCCTAGCCCCTTTTCACGCACTCTAGACCTCACCCCAAGCAGATTTGGTGAACGAAGAGAGAGATCAATGAAGACCCCCACGCTAGGATTTCGCGGAGAAGGATTTTGGCGCATGATTGACGCCGAGATACAAAGTAAGAAGGAACGCGGGCTCTGTTTCAGATGTGACGAAAAATATAGTCCAAATCATTGATGTAAAGGGAGGTCGTTGTAGATTTTGTTAGTAACTGATGAGGACGCACCGGAAAGGAGGAGCCCAAATCTGAAGTTGATGATGAAGTCAACATGGTAGGTAACCCTTTGGCATTGTCGATGAACTGTATTGTAGGTATGACAATTGACAAGACTCTGAAGCTCAGAGGGTTGATTGGAGATGAGAAGGTAATTGTTTTGGTGGATAGTGGGGCATCCCACAACTTTATTTCAAAGGAATTAGTGTGGAAGCTAGGCCTGGAAATTGAGAAGGGAAAACAATTTGGAGTAATGGTAGGGAATGGTTTCACAATCAGAGGCGAGGGAATTTGCAGGAATGTGAGTATGAGGATTCAGGAGGTTGAGCTGACACTGGACTTTTTCCCATTTGATCTAGGAGGAGCAGATGTGGTGCTGGGAATATCATGGTTGAGCACTTTGGGAAATGTGTGCTCTAATTGAAAAAACTTGACGATGACATTTGATAGTACTAGGAAGAAAATAGTGTTGCAAGGGATCCCTCCTTAGTTAAGACTGTAGTCTCTCTCAAAGCAATACTCAAGACACTACAGAGTGAAGGAGTGGGGTATGTGGTCAAATTTTGCTCTATCGAGAGTAAAGGAGAGGAGAAGATTGAACCCATAGAGCCTGGGGTTGCTGCCCTAATAAAGGAGTTCCACCATTTGTTTGAACAACTGAACAGTTTACCTCCCAAAAGACCTATTGACCATGCCATAACTCTCCAAAACTAATCCAAACCCCCTACCCTACGTCCTTACAAGTACTCCTATGCCCAAAAGAATGAGATAGAAAGGTTGGTGGACGAGATGATGGTGTCAGGAATAATCCAACCGAGTACTAGTCCTTTTGCCTATCTGGTGTTCTTAACCCCTTTTGCCTATTTGGTGTTCTTGGTTAAGAAGAAAGACGACAACTGGCGTTTTTGTGTCGATTACTGTGCCCTCAACAACATAACCATACTCGAAAAATTTCCCATTCCTTCTATTGATGAGCTGCTAGATGAGTTGGCGGGTGCTATTTTCTAAATTGGATTTGAAATCTGGATATCACCAGATAAGAGTGAGGGTAGAGGATGTGCCGAAAACCGCATTCAAGACTCATGAGGGGCATTACGAGTTCCTGGTCATGCTGTTCGGGTTGACAAATGCCCCCTCCATCTTCCAGGCCTTGATGAATACAATTTTCAGACCCGTTTTGAGGAAATTTGTATTGGTATTTTTTGATGACATCTTAATCTATAGCCCAGACCTAGAAGCTCACCTCAATTACCTGAGATACGCCTTCCAAATCCTGACTAAACATGCGCTTGTCGTCAACCACAAAAAGTGTCTCTTTGCGCAGCTGAAGCTGGAATACTTAGGACATCTGATTTCTTCGGAGGGAGTAGAGGTAGATCCCGCAAAAGTTGAATCAATGTTATCATGGCCCGTTCCACATACCATCAAAAGTCTAAGGGGTTTCTTGGGATTGACAAGGTACTACCATTAAGGATTATGGGTTGATAGCTCAGCCATTGACTAAGTTGCTTCGAAAAGACGCCTTCGAATGGAATGACCAGGCTCAACAAGCTTTTGAAAAATTGAAAGTTGCTATGTCCTCAGTTCCCGTGTTGGCTGTCCCAGATTTCAGTCTTCCATTTGAAGCCCACACAGACGCATCTGGCCAAGGGTTGGGAGCTATATTAATTCAAAACCAACGTCCCATAGCCTTCCTTAGCAAAGCATTTTCCAACCAGTCATGACAAAAGTCAGTATATGAAAGGGAATTGATGGCAATCGTGTTCGCGGTTCACAAATGGAGCCACTACCTTATCGGACAAAAGTTCATTATCAAAACGAACCAACGCAGTTTGCAATTCTTGACAGATCAAAGGGCGAAGACACCTAAAAAACAAAAATGGATTTCTAAGCTTCTAGGCTACACGTTTGATATCATTTACCAACCTGGTAACTCTAATCAAGTGGCCGATGCCCTATCCCGAAGAGAAGACACAAAGTTGGCTGTTGTATCTATTGTTACTTTCTCAGAATTTGATGATATTGCGGCTGAGGTACAACAAGATGCAAAGCTCCGGACTATCATCCAAGACCTGATGTTTGATCCCCATAGCCGCCCAAACTATAGTCTCTGCCGCGACTGTCTTCTCTACAAACACAGGTTGGTACTACCAAAATCCTTTAAATTTATTCCTCAGTTGTTGGATGAATTTCACAACAGGTCAGTAGGAGGCCACTCTAGTTTTTTTAGAACATATAAGCGAGTGACAAATCTGGTTTATTGGAGGGCATTAAAAGGGATGTTCAAGCTTTTGTGTAGCATTGCTCGGTCTGTCAATTGAATAAGCAGCTAGCCCTTAAGCCCGCAGGACTTCTCCAGCCTTTTCCCATTCCCACCTAGGTGGTCATGGACCGGTTAACCAAATATAGTCACTTCCTTCCCTTATGTCATCCCTACATGGCCAAAGAGGTGGCTGTTCTTTTTGTTTCAAAGGTTGTCAAACTGCATGGCTTCCCAAAGTCAATTGTATCTGACAGAGACCGAGTGTTCATCAGTCAATTTTGGTAAGAATTGTTTAAGGCAGCAGGTACCAAGCTGAAATTCAATTCGGCGTATCACCCTCAAACCGACGGACAAACGGAGGTAGTCAATCGTTGTTTAGAAGCTTATCTCCGTTGCTTTTGTAGCAACCAACCTAAACACTGGCCAAGGTGGTTCGCATGGGCTGAATTTTGGTATAATTCTACCTATCACAATGCAACTAAGATGACACCATTCAAAGCACTTTATGGCCGCGACCCACCCACTCTTCTACACTTCACCGACTACCCATCCTTGGTCGAAGGAGTGAACCAGTAGATGGCTGAGCGTAACTCCATTTTGGATACGCTGAAACATAGCTTGAGTGTTGCCTAGGCCCACATGAAAACCCATGCTGATGTCCATCGCCGGGATGTCACCTTTCAACCGAGAGACCAGGTGCTTTTAAAACTTCAACCATACCGTCTAAACTCAATGAAAAGTTGAGTCCACATTTTTATGGACCGTTTCCCATTTTAGAGAAAATTGGGCAGGTTGCCTACAAACTGGTGCTACCTCCAACATCCAAGATCCATCCATTTTTTCACGTATCACAGTTTAAGCGCAGCCTGCACAGCTCGATTCCCATCTAATCCCTACCCTTATGCCTCACTGAGGACATGGAGCTATAGGTACAACCGAAATTTGTTTTGGTAGTCCGCACGTTGGTTAATGGCTCTCAAAAAGTCCTCATTAAGTGGAAAGACTTAGCCCCATTTGAAGCCACTTGGGAGCTATCGGACACCATCAAGCTTCAATTCCCTCACTTTCACCTTGAGGACCTCCCATCAAGATGGTGTATCAATATAGAGGGCATAAGAGTAAAAAGTCGTAAGAGTGCATGCGTTAGTGGAGAATGGTTTGAGGCGTGTGGCGTGTGAAGAATCAATTAGTTAGAAGGGAATAATTCAGTTAATTGATTTATGTACAAAAGGGAGAGCTTAAGTAGGAAAGGGGAGAATTATTATCATTAGTCAATTAAGGAGGTCCCCAACTCCTCAAATTGCTGGGACTATCTATTGCATATTCTATTTCATTGTAATTGAGCATTGCTCTAGAAATTGCCATTTCTATTCTATTAATACCATATTGAGTTGATCCAGCATTACATTGAGTATTATCATTCAGTTTGTCTCTATCGAGTTTGCTTATTGTGTTGCGTGATTGAGTGAGTTGCTTGGAGTTCTATCAGATTATCAGCAATATCAATGTGTATCTCGAAATAAAGCCACATCACATTTGGGATATATACATAGGAAGTATAACAGTACTTTTGAGAATACTATATTACCGTAAGACCAAAACTAGAAGTATTTGATGCTTCTTCAAAGGATTTTTGAGATTTTATTTTGTAAATATCTGGCACTTTGGTCCACCACAGTAAACTTTAATATTTTCTATATACTAGTTGTTTAACTTCCAAAAAAAAAAAAAAAAAAAAAGGCTTTCCGGCATGCATAGAGCTGATAATCGTTCCAACCAGACCAAACTATCTCAATAGTAAGGAAAAAAGAAAGAACATGATAACCAGAGAACATAAGCTTATTTATTCGATGCTATATCAAAGGAAGAGATGCATACCTCCATAAGCTCTACTTTAGCAGTGTCAACACCCTCCACATCATCAAAGTTAACCATCTGTTTATTGGGCCGTTGCCGTTTTGCTGGGCTATTAGCAGCAGAAAGTTGACGATAAAGAAGCCACATCAAAGGGGTTAAGGGAATCCACAAAGATATCACAGTAATTAAAATATTTCTCATTGACTTTAATGGTGATTGAGGAGCTGAGCTATAAGTTGTTCCCTTTTCTCTCATCAAACTAAGAAGAAATTTCTCATCATGATCTATTTTTCTAGTGGAAAACTCCCACTGAGGAATAGAAGATTGATTCCTTGAAAACTTCTTCAAAATATTGAAATTAACTGCCACTGCCACTGCCACTCTCACACCATCATTTCCGGCAGCCATATGATCCACATTCTCAGTTGAATCATTTACTACTGGTGATTTTTCTTCTGTAATCTCAGTAGTATCAAAACTCTGTACGTTTGTGTTATAATATATCCGACGAGACCCCTCTTCAAGTAAAACTTTTGTAACAGACCCGTTTTGAAGGCTTGTTATCAAGTCCGAATATGGAACAATCTTCGGTGATGGCAATGTCGTTAAATTTACAAGCAAATAGCACAGCCCCAGAGCAACAGATATCAAAGTAGACAAAGTCACCCTCCTAATATTCTTCCTCAAAAACATCCCAATATCATTCAACACCGACCTAAGAGAAACCCTCTTCAATCTCACTATCAACAACCGCAACCTTGGACGCAATCTTAACGAAAATCTCCTTCTCAATTTCCCATTACCTCTATTCTCCAAATGGGTTCCTTTATCTTCAATGCTTCCTTTCACTAATGGCCTAATTCCATTGCTACAACACAACCCATGTTGAGACTTACAACAATCATAAAATCCCAACAAGGGAACTCCAAATTCTCCAATATTAAGAAACCTAAACTTATTGTTACAAAGCAACAAATGTGAAGATTTCCAGTAACAATTATAAAACCCCACAGAAGCATTATAACAAGCACTAGTATATCTCATCAAAGACTTGGTTTTGACACCATAAAGTCCAATGTTTTCTTGAGTAGGCAAAAACCCATTATTGCAAACAACAGAAAAACAAGCCATCTCTTTTGTACAACTACAACAAGTACTATATAGGCATAATTATTATCAACAAAACAAAATCCAAGAAATACCCAGTAACAAAAAGAAGGTCGTAAATGATAGGAACAAAGTGATATTGTTAAAGCGGTGAAATGAACATGAAAAGGGTATTCTTACCAGGTGGACTGTGAGCTTGGTGGAAACTGAGAAATGAGTTAATGAAATGAAAGAAGATGATAAGAGACAGACAGTTGAGGAAAAGTGTAAAAGATCTCATAAAAGTGGGCTGGATTGTGTGTACGTGGCATGTTGTGAATGGGTTAATCGGATTCTCAACTCTGTTCTTGGTTGTAGTTGAATACGTTTAATAATAAAATAACCTTAAGAAAATAGTTTTTATTAAAAAAACTCTCAATAATTTCTTTAAAAAATAGAGTTAATGGCATTAATTCCATTTAAGGCATGATACAATAACAATATTCTTCAAAGGTTTTGAATAAACTGTTAATAATTTCTTTAAAAAAACAAGGTTCTTGGTTATTATTATTAAAAATTAAAAGGAAAAATGTTTATGGGTCTTGGAAAATCTTTGCATTTTATTATCACATATTATTTTAAAAAATGATTGAAAAACCTTATAATAAACGTGAGGTTTTAGTGAAAAATTATTTTAAAATATGTGAAATTATAAAGACTTTTTCCCACCCAAGGTTTGCCTTAATGACCCTATCCCACGCAAAAGTTTTAAAATACCACTTTTTCACCCAAAAATAATATTTTGTTAATACCCAAAATCGAATCCAGCGGCAAAAATTCTCTTCGTCACCACCATTTGGACCTCCGGTATCCTCTCTACAAAGCCCTTCTCACTCTAGGACTTAATTTCTTGCTTATTATCGGCCATCGCAAAGCTAGGATTTCCTGTTCTTAACTAATTTCCGACGGCAAAAATTCAATCAGTCACCACCATATGATCCACCAAACTCCACTCTACAAAAACCCTCTTACCTTAACTCCTAGTAACTCATCAAACGCTGGTTGAGAAAGTAAAATATATTTTGGATATTAACGGAATATAAACACTGGGTGAGAAAATGGTATTTTGATATTTTTGGGTGGAAAAGAGTCATTAAGAAAAACCTTGGGTGGGAAAAAGTCAATTACTCAAAATTATGTTTCGAACCTTAATTTGGGGTGTTAATTGGAAACTAGCTTGAAGCTTGAAAGTATAAGTATCTCACCAGCTAGCCAAACCAAATTCTTAGAAATTTGACGAAATTGCCCTCATATATAAAAACTCAATCCTCATTCTCTTCTAACTCTTATCCACTAACAGCCCAAGAGAAACGATTCCCTCCATTAAAATCATTTCAAAATTGAAACCCTAAACCCATGGCGTTGTTTGATTTGTTGCCTCATCCGATTGGAGAAACAATACAAAGAAACCCATTAACCTCTTTGATTAGGAATCTCGACTTGGTGGAAGGTATGTTTTGTGTTTTCTTCGTTTTTGATAATTATTTGAAGTTTGTTGATTGAGGTGTTGTTATTGTGATAATTTGAAGTGATTTTTTATGTTTGTTAATTGAGGAATTGATTAGTGCTTGTTGATTGGTTTTTAATGAAATTTGTTTGGTTAAGGTTTAGATGGTGAGTTTTTTGGTTGTGTTTGGGGGGGTTTTTAGTGATTTAAATTTGTTGTTGTTAATAGAGTTTTCCGGAGAATTTCTGGCAAAATAATGCGCTGAAGATGATTGGGAAATCAACTCGTAGGCCATTTTGGGTGGTATCGAACTATCGATCAATTTTTGTAATAAATCCAGAAGTGTTCAACAAGGGTGTCAGTCGACTCGAGTTTGAGCTCGCCAAAACTTGGCTCGAAAAGCTTGTTGGGAAAGTGGAAAAGTGGAGAATTTTTGTGTGAGCTTGAGCTTGAGCTTGATATTATAACAAACAAGTTGAAGTCAATTAGCCCAAAGTTAGATTCATCTCAACTCGACTCATTTACACCTCTACTCTGATACCCAATTTGGGTTAGATAATATAATTTCACTTAAAAAACCCTCTTGAGAATTAGCATAAGTAAATTTAATAAATTAAAAAAAAGATTAGTTGACAGTGAAATTCATAATATATTTTTGAACTAGACATGGGGCTCGCGCATTATGCAGGTATGTTTATTTAATGTTTTTGAAATGGGTTGTAAACAGATTTATTTTAACAGAATAAAGTAATTAGATTAAGAGACGATAATTGTTAAATTATACAAGTTTTAGAGTAAATATAAATTCTATATATGTATAGAGTTGTGTTAAGATAAAATTAATAATTGTACCTTTATAATTATTAATATCAATTAATATTATCAAGATCAATTATTTAAATTTAAAATTTATATTGAGTTCATTTTCAGATTTGACATTGACTGATAAATTTTTTTTCTCACAGTATAGGATTCTCTCTAGCCAAGGTTTGAAAACAAACTTTTGCTTACACAGTTCATTCAAAGGCTTTGTTTATTTTACAATTGAGAACATGATAACTCAATTAATTTCTGTATTAATAATTGTGGAACTAGAAAATAGAATATGAAGAGACTAATTTCCATCTTTATACGTTTTTATTTAATGGTTAGATTTTTGGAATGCCTATGTAATGTGCTTATATAATTATTATTAATACTCATCCAATGTGTGAAGATGAAAGAATTAAATCAAAACCAACTTGTCAAGATAGATACTTTTTAATAGATTCATTAAATACTAAATGCAATGCGTCAATTAAAGGAACAATTTTTAATCAATTAATGAGTAACATCAAAATCAAGATAATACTTTTATTATAAAAGAAATAAGTACATGGGTTTTGCATATTGTGAAGTGGGTTTGGATGATATAGACGGTGTTTATTTTCTATTTCTCTTATAGTTGTTCAATTCCTCTAGTGCATATACAGACTTTCTTTTGTTTATGTCATAGATAATATCCATGGCAGAATGCATAATTTCTAACATCTGGTCAATGACTTCTTTGAATTTGTCTCTAGCAGTATGTAGATCATCCAGATTGGTGTCAACTTTTTTGAAAATCTCCCTCAATTCTGGCATTCCCTGAAAAATGTCTAAACCAATTGCAGAAACAATATACAATCAAATTTTATAAATATATGGAAATGGTAACATGAATGTGTAAATATAATTATGAGATGAACTCTCGACATATCAAATTTTTTTTTTTTAATGGTTTTTATATTCCCGCAAATATGTATCATCGTTTTGTTTGACATTTTGTAATTTAGGATACAAAAGATGTGGAACATTCATACCTTCTAGTTGCCTTGGTGGAGAATTATTATTGTTGAGGTCGTTGCTGATATTCGTTGCAAATTCTTTTGGTTGTGCTGTTTTGTCAACCATTTTCGAATTAAGTTGTGGAGAAGAAATGAACAATTAAATTGTATAGTATCTGAAGAAAGTTAAATGGGTCATTGAACCAGAGCAATATTTATAGGAGCATAGGATACGAAGAGGTGGAATCTGAACAGACAACTAGTAATCAATAAACGTGTCGATTGAAAAAGTATTAATAATTGTTTGAATAAGGTAATATGAAACATTAGTCGACTATTTGTACAATATTAAAGAAAACCATAATAAATATTTTGTTAAGTGTGCAACATATTAGTTAGGTAGTTAATGATGGTTTGGCAAGATGTTGAGATATTATAATAAATAAACACTGTGATTTACTAATAATAAATCTTATTGATACATTTTTAAGGGAAGGGCAATAAATATTTTGTTAATTATCCAAGTTAGAGATGACATGATGATGTCATAATATATTTTTTAATTTTTTAATTGTGGTTCGGCAATATGGTTATGAAACATGCATATAGTTCGGCTTTGATCTTGTTTGATCAATAATGCTACAAAAGTTTTTTTAAATCTGTAATAGAAATGGTTATTTATAGTTTTTTTAATTAAAATTATAATATATTTAGATTGATGTTTGTTGAATATGTTTAATTTTTTTAACATTTTTGTCTAATATTGTTATTAAATATCTATTAAAATATTAAATATTGTTTATGTTTTATCCAGTATTTTAGTCTTGTAATTAAAATTTTGTTACTTCACATTAGAATATATTTTCACTTGTTTTATCTAAATAGAAATAGGAAACAAACAGAAGGAATAAATTTGAACCCATCTTTTATGTGAGAATTTTTGTCATAGTATAAAATTTCGATGGTTCCTTCACATCCATAATCCTCATATTGATTTTAAAAACGCATGTCTATCCATATAGTTTATTCAAAGTTTTTGGGATGCAGTTGAGAACATGACAACTCAATCAATTTCTAGGGTACTGTATCACAAAATATAAAAGTTGCTCCGGGAAAATTAACAGACATTTAGCAACAGATAGACACGTTGATTGAAAAAATGTTGACAACCTATTGGGCGATGAGATACGAAATGGTAGCAAAACTATTTGTAGCGCATTAAAGGAAAACGTAATAAATAGTTAACAATGGTTTGGCAGGCGGGTTTTCAAAATATGTTGTGGTTCGGTGTGGAATTTAATTTAATGAATAATGGAATGGAAATTTCTTTTGATATGTTATAGGAATAGTATTTAGATTGTTGTTTGTTGAACGTGTTTAATTATTTGAAATTCTCATAATCATTGGTGTTTAATACTTTTATTAAATATTGTTTACGTTTTACTGATCATTGTAATTTTGTGATCAATTTTCTTTATAAGTTATTAAATATTTGGATCAATCATAGATAATTGAGTGAGTTTTAACTTCTATTTTCGAATTAAACTAAAAAGCATTTAAATTTTTACATGTGCAAGAAATTACATAAGAAACTTACTAAAAATTAAATTTCATACAGACTATTTGGTAATTCATGTTATATCTATGCCATGTGATATTTTCTAGTGGCATTGATCTATCCTAGTGTATACGACTTTGATTCTCCTTGTTGCAAGTCCCAAATATTCGTCTTTTAATGAGAATTGTGGCAGTTAGAGTCAGGAACTTGAATTGTTCCTTGCAATATTTCAGTTTGTAGAAATGATTAGGTAGTTTTACTAATTTCATTAGAATTTTTATACCTTTGTTGTCATGTACAGTAAGCAGAGCAACGACAGTGTGATATATTACTTGCATGTTATATTTTTGGCAAACTGCAATCATTAGTTGTAATCCCATATGTGTATCAT